AATGAATAAAGCAGGAATATTTTCTTCAGTTAATGGGTTAGGCCCTGGCTCCTTGTGACTCTGATTTGGACTTAGTGTTTATGGAAAAAGAATGGATGAACAGGTATATAAAAGAATAGACGCACTATATACTGTATGTGGTTGTACATTTATTACAGAAGTGGTTTATTTTTACATTTTATTAAATGTATACTCAGGTATTACGTGACTGAAATAATCACACAAATTAAAAAAAATAAAAAGTGACAAATGTAAATTAAACCACAATTATAACTTGTAATGTTAGTAACATCTTATTACACAATCAATAATGAGAATTGGATATAAGGCGACCTGATTTAAGTATTCAAAATCTTCAAAAACATGGCATCATGGATGCCAAAAACATGTATTTCAGAACCAACAATGAAACATAAACCAGAGGACAGAAATGAGGAAGTGCATTTGAAACTGACAGCATCCATCCCACCATTTTCAAACCTCTATACCCATTACAGGGTTGCAGGGCATCCAGAGTCTATCCCAGCAAACAATGGGCTCAAGGCAGGGCTCACCCTGGATTTGTTGCCAGTCTATCACAGGGCACACACACGCAGACATGAACATACACATGCCAGGCCAGGGCCAATTTGTCCAGAAGCACATTAACCTACCAGTACATTTTTGAACTGTGGAAAGAAACCACACCACCTGGAAACCCACATAAATATGAGAATCTCCATGTAGACAGCACCACAGGTGTAGAATTGAACCCAGGGACTTAATGCTGTCAGCAGAAGCAGCAATGCTTGCCACAGTGCTGCCTTTCAAACTGACAACAGGAGACATTTTTTAACAAAAGGATTGTGGGAGTCTAACCAGCTATGCTTTTCAAGAAATGGCTGGATAAGATCCTTGAATCAATTAGCCACTAACAACCAAATGAGATAGTTTGGCCAAATTGCCTCTTCTCATTTACAAATATTGATCTGAAGTACGTAATGATAGGCACATAATCAAAAGCCATAACACACCATTATCTACATGGCAATATAATTTTGATTTAATCACATTCTCTGCTCTCAAATCAGACTGCAAAGTGCACTCCCATTGCCATCTGGGACTAGAAGGAGTATTCCTGGGACTCCCACACCTCTGTGTGCTTTGAAACAGCCAATGTAACCCTGCGTGACATTTTCTGAGAAGTTCCAAAGAGTGTGTAGTTAAATATAGTTAAATACAACTATTGGGAAAATAAAAAGCAATGTTTTTTCCAATTCAGATGCAAGCAGGCCTGAGAAGAATGGCATTGCTAGAAGTAAAGTATGTAGTATTAGCAGCTAGAGGCAGAAACTTAATTATTAAGAATGCTTTCCTTATGGTAACTCAAAAAAACAGAGGGTTGCTTTCGGCATGCTGAAAATATTATTAAATCGTGCCGCATTCATATTTGAACTAACTAAACGTCACTAAACCTTTGCAAATTTGTAAAATATTTTCTTTAATTCTGGTCTGACCTTTACTTTATTAAATGTGTTAGTCCCTGCATTCCTTGCACTGTTAGGTATTACATTCTGAATAGGTCATTTATTGTTGCCTGGTGAAAGACCTTAAAAGAAGACTTTTACAACAACACTTCACATTTTCACTAAAAGCTTAACAGTGAAGGCTTTGAGAAGGAGAGCTTTTTAAAAACAAATCATGTGTTTGAAACTTAACCAGCATTTCTCTGAAGTTTTAGCTCTGATCATCTGATAGCCAAGTTGAGTATGATTCCACAGATGTGCACTGTATGCTTCCTCTGGATATTGGTCTAAAATGAAACAACAGTAACAAGATGCCATTTTTAAGACTGTGATTGAGTGGTCCATTGAAATGCCTTGGTTTCAATTACTGTATACTGTAAAATTTCGACTGTCTTTCTTAAAAGCAAAAAGTTTGCAATCATTGAGGTGTGATCAAATGTTTTGATATGACATTTAAAATATGTGCTAATTGAATCAACACTTACCGTAGGTCAAATACTGTACAAGCTACATGAAAGCTACCTTCATGAAAATTTGCCTAAACAAGACAGATTATTAAAGAAGATACATTTCCTAGAGGTTTTAAAAACTGTTTTGATAGTTTGAGACTGATTCTTTTTGATTTGAGGAAAAAATTCAATTTTGTTGTTTGGAGGGCTTCTGAGACACCCTGCCGGAATGTAGATTTGAAACCCTAGCTAGGGTTAGGGTTAGCATTCCCACACCAGGTAGAAGTTTTTTACTGTCAGTGCTGCATTCCGGGACCGCAGTTATCTTTAGGATGAGTGATAATTTCCTTCTATCTGCACTATTAGTTTTCGGACAGTTTTGGTCACCTTGTTGTATATTGCTCTATCCATTGATTTTATCCAAAACTGAGCCAGTTGAAAAGTGTAAATAATACCTGTTCTAATGAGTAAACTCTCTTCATTTTGTCATTTAAAGTGCAGCTAAAAGTGTAACTGCGGGCAAAATTCTATGGTTCTTGTAACCCTAACCCT